GACCCTGACCCTGGCAGATCGAGCCGGCTGATGGGGCTGGCCTGAGTGCTGAGCTGAGGGTCAGAGGGCAGTGTGGCCACATGCGCGGCTGCGTTTGGTCGCTCGGAGGGAGCAGGGCTACTTCTGGGCAGCCGACGAGTGTCCTGCTCTAGCCCCGGTCCTGCCCCACGACACAATTCTGGTCATCCTGTCCAGAAAAATGATCCTTGGTATTACTTTCAGAGAACGAGGGTCGGGTTGCATAACGTCGAAAGACAGGACGTGGATCAGCGTGCTGAGGTCCTGCACACACGCAGCGTCCTTCCCCGGAGTGCCGGGAATGACCTGCAGAGGCACGAGCCTGCCGGCAGGGGGCAGCGCGGAGCCGACAATTGTCAAGAAACCGAACGCTCTGCGGCCGCCTCTTCCCCCTCTCCCCGCAGGATACGTCCCAGTCGCACCCGGAGTGTGTGACATTCAGGAACACCATTTTTAGGGGTCGCACTTTTCCCGTTAACCTGAAGGAAGAGGGTCCCTCACTTTCTCACGCTCTTTCAACCTCCTGCATTGAATGAGAGGCTTTGCTCCAGCTGTTCCCAGAAACCGAGGTGTCTGCTGCCTGTCACCAGGTGCTGGCTGCTCCAAGCAGGCTCAATCGTCCCACAGCAAAGGGCAAGAGTCCCTGCTTAGGGGCGCAGGGAGGGCCGGCCGTGCTCCGTTCTGAAACGTCCAGGAGGCGAGGTCTGTGACTGCAGCAGTGAAGGCTGCGTGCACGACAGGAGTCCCACAGGGTGTCACCCCCAGACGCGTGGCATGCGCTGGCAGGCCAGCTCCCTGCAGGCAGGGCCGCTTCCTCCACTGTCCTGTCCCCACTGCTCAGGACAGTGCCGGGCACACAGCAGGCAGCCCACAAACAGCCCTGAGTACACGAGCAAAGGCCACCGATCTCTCACTCCCTGGTCCTCACGCTCCCCACAAGCCCATAGTTCTAAGCAACCGACCAGACACCTGAAGGAGCTCCTGGCTCGGGTCCGTCCTACACCAGAGTTACCCGAACCCCATTTACTCTGTCCCTGCCTGTTCTAATCCCTCCGGCCACATCCTCGTTTCCCNTTTGTCTTAAAATTCTATTGTACTGCCTCAAGGTCCAGGGTCATGTTGTGTGTGATAAGATGCACAGCAAATGCTGAAGTCACAGTGAGGTTGGACTCAGCCGGCAATGACCACCTGCTGAGTCTGTAGGTGACAGCCCTGCCCTTCTGACGTGCTGGTGATCAGGTGCATCCTTGGACCTTTCCTTGAGTTCCCTCGAGCACTGCACTGAGGGTGCTGGGAGGACGGCCCCAGCGGGTACCTGTCTGGCCACCTGGGAGCTGGAGGGAGGCCCACAGCTGTGTCAACAGCAGCCTGGACATGGAAAAATTACCGGCAGTTCAGCTCTGCCCTGCACTCACGTTCATTGGGAACATCTCCCAGGGATCTGTTTTTGGCCTTCCTGCCATTCACTCTGCGTAACTCTGAAACCAGCATTTCCTTTCTGACCTCTCTTCTGGTCACCCAGACCAGAAACCTGTGACTCTTGCCTCCTCCCTCAGCAAGTGCTGTCAAGCCTCCTTTCCCAATCTAGCCCATTCCCATCTCCACTGCCTGGCTCAGCCTCTCCCTTCACGTACGGAGAACCTACCAGCTTCCCCATTCCTCCAGCTAATCTGCTCTTGGGGCCCCTGGTGACCCAGAAAGGCTCACCTCCTCTGCGGAGCCTTCGCAAACCTGATTTCTTTCACTGTGGAGTCGACACTGCCTCACTCTCTGGACAGTCACATGATGGTTGCTTTATGACACTCTGGGTGACTCTTTACTCTTTGTAGTACCTGGTGTCTCCTGACCAGGCTACAAGCTCCTTGGGAACACACACCATAGCTTAAAACGCTTCTGTGCATTNCCTGACCAGGCTACAAGCTCCTTGGGAACACACACCATAGCTTAAAACGCTTCTGTGCATTCCCTAGCTTATGGCATCTGACCCATAGCAGTGGGCTCCCTGACTGCAAACAATGAGTTTGGTGATGCCAGGGGGTGGCCAGGCCAAACTGCAGTGGTGTCCTTAGTGAGCATCCCTACAAAAGCTTAAGGCCTGGTACACAGGGATGTGAAGTTGGAATAGTCTAGTCTCCTCAACAAGATTCTGACTTCCTCAAGGAGGAAAAAAAGAAAAAGAAATTAAAAAAAAGAAAGCAAGCTCAGGAGAAGCACTGTGTTGTAGATTGTTGTCAATGCAGAGCACCCAGCCAGAAATGATGCTTGAGAAACCCCTGGGTCTTCTGCAGGATATGTCTGCCTGGGGGGAAAGGTGACACTTCTGAATGATTTTCTTATTGTGGCCCCTGAGCTACCAGAGAAGCCATTTTTTTAACCATCTCTTGGACCCTGAGGTGTAGGACCTAGAAGGGGCATGAATGTGATCATGGTGACCCGTTAGCAAGACCTCTGGTGGACGTCGGAGGAGCGAGGTGCTTTTACTGGAAAGCTAAGGGACTGGCAGGGCTGATCCAGCCTCTTGTTTGATCCTGGCTGGAGCTTTCATTGTCGTCTCTGCCCGGGTGGCCCTCCCTAGCCCCACTTTTCCATCCATATGAAAGGCTATGCCGTGTGCTTGGCAACATCATGGCAACAGCCAGGTTCTTTTTTTTTTTTTTTCCCTTTTTGTCTTTTTCCGTGT